GCTCATGAACAGCTGCTGAAAAATAGTGTTTTCCTTTATCGGTGAACAAATATTGCTAAACTGACAAGACTGTACAAAGTAGATATTTAAGACTAACCTTTAGTTTAGCACACACCCTGAAATGTTATGGCATTAAAAGCTATGTCAGTTTAGGTCAGAATAGGCATAATGATCCTGAACAAATGTAGAACTATGATTAAGCGACTGGAAACAGGGTCACGGGATTTGCACGTGCCTTTTCCTTGTTTCTCGATGTAGCTTAAAAAGATGCAGTGGACAGAGCAAAAGGAAAGAAGGAACAATATTGTAAAGTGTGATTCTGTGCCTAAGGAAACATGAAAGGAAAGGGTTACCTGTCTGCACTGAGTTGCTCCTGGCCCATCATGAACTGGAGATTATCAATGACAACATGACTAATATCATACATGTACACAGCATGGAGCATGGTGTCAATCACTGTCCTGCATGAAAAAGTTATCAAAGTTACACACATGTAGAAGCTAATTTCTTCTGCCATTCTTAGATAGGGAGAGATCACACTGAAGTTCAACTAGGGCGTTTTTAAACTGAAAATCCTGCTGCAAATTAAAACATGTCTGCAATCTCAATTATTTCAGAGTGACAAATACATTTATAAAGTTAGTAATTCAAGAAGGTAGCTTAAAACCATCAGAATCCTAGAGAAAATTTAATCTGATTAATAGAGATCAGAACAAAGAATAAGGAGCTAATGAACTTCTCCAAGACACTTGCACACTTTGCAATATATAATTTGTATCCACAGTAAAGGAACTCACAAGACACTGCATATCTAAGGGAGAACCAATTGCCCTAACATATAATAGTGTATTCATAATCTGTTTTAACAACTCACTGTATAATTTAATATGAGACCAGTCCCAATATTTGCTAAGCTAAAGGTGTTTTGTAACACTTGACAGTCAACATGTGCTAGAATCTTCTGTGGCTTTTCTACCATGCTGTCTTATCCAAAGTGGGGACATACTGCTGGTTTAACAGAATAGGAGGACACAATTCCCAGACCAACAAACATACTACATAGGGCTAGTTAATTTAGCCTTATTTTGGCTTTACTACCAAATCTTGTAACAGATTTCTTTTTCAAGGACACTTATACTCCTTTCCGAAACATGTCTACTTGCTGCTAATTAAACAGAAGTAAGACTGCAAACTCAGCATTACCATTAATTATAGCACTAATTCACATCTGTCTCATAGAAGAGCAATAACCCACAATATACAAGTGGAAAGCTGCTACCCCAAACTTTACTTGATATTCTGTTGTCCATAGAAGGTCATGAAGTGAAGTGGAAGATCCTCAAACTTGTCTGCCCACTCATCATACTTTTCCAGTTGCTCATCCAGCTTTTCCATGGCAAATTGAGTAAGCATGATCTTGGCCAAACGTACATTGTGGATCTCAAAGCTGCCCCACAATGTGTTAACCCCTTGCATGCAGAGATCCAGGGCATATTCACTTATGAAAGTGGTCTTCCCACTGCCTGTTGGACCTGATTCAAAAAGACAAAGGCACAATTAGTAAGAAAGACAGTTTGATCCAACTTATACAGCAGTCGGTTTAACACTGAATAAACTGACACACCCTTTCTTTTGATGGGTGGCTATATTGGCTACATTGGATATTCTGCAGCTCCTTTGTGGATAAGAAATTCAAGTGGGGAACTGTGGCAAAATACAGTATTTTTCCCATTGACTGTAAAATCCCACTTACCCATTACAATTGTACTTAAGATGGTTTGATCACTATTTGGTAATGTAATATAAATCAAACTTGGGGATATACGTATATGGAATCTTCCATAGACCCTTCTGCTGAACAGTGCATACAGAATCACAGAACTGCAATAAGTCAGAATTTCATTTACTTTCATCTTCACATTTGCCAGAATTGGAGACATATGGGATCTAACTCAAGAAAAAGCAGCAAAGAAAATCAATTTAATTTAATTTATTTTAGATATCTCCAATACCTCCTCCCTTTTCTTCCTAATAATAATCACCTTTATGGAGTTGCTGTACCCAGCAATAAATTATGCTTCTCCAGACAAAAATACAACCATGACTAGCGTTATGTATGTGAGAGATGTTCATGTGGTTTTCCTGTGCATATATAGTACATACAAAATAGTCAATACATACAGAACAGTGTATAACAGGATGTGGAGGGATATATTCCTACATATAAGAATGAACATAAATTCTTAGTTAATTGAAACACATCTCAGATATAAACAATAAGCAGTCATTATTTTAATAGAGTACATAATAAACAGAATTCCCAGCATGCAAACAGTGACACAAAATAATCCAAAAATAGTAGAAAAGGGATTATGGATAAACCTATACATCAGATCAATCCAGAACAATTTCTCTGTTCTAGACCAACTATGTCACAAGTCCACAACCAGGCAAAATAACAAATTAGTCAAGGACAACCCAGTGCTAAATAGCTTTTAGCATAGTATATAACAGATTAGAGGAAAAAAAAGCAGCAAGAAAATACTTTAACCGTTTCTAGCTGATTGTGCAGGAAGCCTTTAGTTGTAAAACCTTTAGGCTATTCACAGTGGGTTATGGTCAATATTGTATGGGGACCGAACACCATGAGAAGCTATGTGGGAGACTGATTTTCAGATCACAAGCTATGTCTGAAAAGCCAGCCAAAACCTAAGACTGACAAACAGCTCAAGAACATCACAGCAAATAGTATTTTAATGATTAGACATGCTAGTGGAAGAAGGGGGAAAGGGAAAGCACCACATATACACTCACCTGTGAAAACAGTGAGCTCTCCTTTGCGGTGGCCCTTGAGAAGTTTGCTCAATTCTGGAAAACGAGCCCATTTGACTCCTGCCACCTGATTTACATTGACTAGCTCCCCATACACCTCTTCCCGCAGTTGACAAAATGAAATTATAGACTTGTGGCCAGCTGGTAGACCTGAGCGCAGAATCTTGGTGAGGTTCATGCCACTGCTAAAAGCTTCTAGAGGTCGAAGCTGCTGGTCACTTGGTCGCACCAAATAACAACGCTTAGGATTCAGCTTGCGTGCAAAATGTTTAGCAGCTTCCCAGGACCGGAGATCCTCTCCTAACCACAAAGTGATGCGTTTGAACTGTTCTAAGTAGGGGAGTAGGGCTGGGGGAAGACAAGAAATCCCACGAGGCAGAGCCAGGGTGGGTAAACCAGTCACTTGGTGCAACACCAAAGTATCCAACTCTCGGCCAGTCAGCACCACTTCTGAATCACGCCGACTGATCAGAGGCAAACCAAAGAGGTTATGATAGGCATTTGGACGAGGCAGCATATTCTCCACATGGTGTACTCTCTCTCCTTGGTGCTCAACTCTGAGAAGCTTTAATCCCTTCAAGCTGGTGCCAGATGGGCTGAACCATGGAAAAACCAATGCTTGAGCGGTCCGAAGAAAACGCACACCAAAGTGTTTGAGAGTTGCATTTGACACACTGGAAATGCCAAACTTAGCCTTGACTTCTTTTGTCTCCAGCTCATCCAGCAATTCCCAGAGAGGCAAGGCTCGTTCCCATATATGCCTAGCATCCTCCCCACCTTGGTCACTCTGCTCATTAACACTGTGCCTATCACCTATGGTTATTCCTTTATGCTGCAACTCTACATTGGCCTGGAAGTCTTGCCAGTTACCTTCAACCAGTGTGGCTGTGCAGATAAAGTGACCTGTAGTCTTATCAATAAAGAGGCTGTAACTATGGCGAAGCTGCTGCTTATCCTCCACAAAAATACTGGGCACGTGAATGCAACTATAGCCATCATGAAATGGGATTCTCTGTGCTTTGAGGTACTGCCTGATCTCTGTGACCGAGGCGGGGGGAATTGGGTCGTGCACTGACGGAAGCGTCTCCTTTTTGTAGTGCTTACAAGGAGAGCTTCCTACAAGCATCCATTTACGTGGAAGGCACCAGTGGCGTAAAAGAACCCGTGACGACACAGAGAACCACATTTTATCTACGGCTCGATCGCCGATCTTCTCAGCACGCTAGCAGGTTCTCCTGGAACCTTCTCCTCTCTACAGCCTTACAGTGCTGAGTTCTGAATGCCCTAATCGCCCCGTGATAAGTACTTTCTTCTCTTTAAGAAATCCTTTCCACCCTCCGAGAAGCGACCTCCTACATTGGTTAAACTGCATCTCCCCTCATGACCCATCTATGCCGCCGCTGCCCGCGTTCCAGCTTGCGGTGCAGATGCCCCCCGTCCAGATTCCCGCGCAGACCAAATGCCGCTCTCCAGCCAGCGACATCTGCCCTGCTAAAAACCAACCTCCCCGCTGGCCGCAGCCGAACCGCACAGCTTTGCCCCCGTGCCTAGCTCCGGACCAGGGTCTCCGCTTCCCACGTGCAGCTCCAGAAAGCGCGCCATGGCCCTCCTGCAAAACCGTCACTTCCGATAGGGGGGGGGGGGGGACAGGAACCACCCCGGAAACAAACACAGGTTTGGAGGAACACACACGTCTGCCACCATAGAGATAAAAACTACGAACTAATATACACCTCTCCCTGGTCGTATTGTCGGAAGAGCGTTTTACGGCTGTCAGATGCGAATTGCAGAGATGTTGGCATCTGGCGATTATTGCAGCCTTATGAAAGCCACCGTAACCTAACCTCAGCCATACATGCAAACCCTTCCTGGCGATTTCTGTGTGTGCACGTGCATCATACATACTGTGTCTACAATGCAGCTTTTAAATAGATGTTTGCACCCCAATGACCCGAAATTTTGCTTCTCTCTTGCAAGAATAAAGTGGAGGCCACTTACTGTGCAACTACTGCGATGGAAAAGTCTAGTATTTCTCTACATTTTCTCCGAGTTATTGTTATCCCGCAGGAAAGGGAGAAGCGACTTCAAAAACAATTGCCGTTCTACAGGCACAGAGAGACAGTATGCTAGACCGGCACCAACTCGATGGTCCGTCTGCCTCACTTCCTGTTCCGCTCCTGGGCTCGGGCGCGCGTTGCGTTGCCAAGGACGATGACCGGCCGGGGTACCCCGAGCCGCTTTTTGGCCAGCGTCCTGCGGAACGGCGTGGGCCGCTACGTGTGTCAGCTGCAGCGCATCACCGTGACGGTCAGCCAGCACTTGTCGAACTCGCTGGGCGCCAGGTAGGGAGAGAGAGGCGCTGGAGCAGTCGAAGCCCGTGCCTCTGCTTCCTCGTTCCCGGTGTTTGAGATTGACCCTTAGGAACGAGAGGGGGAAGCCCCGGTCCGTTCTTAAGGGCCTCCCCTCTGTGGTTGCTCTTCCTAGACCCGACCTGCCCTTGAGCAGGGCTCCTACGGTTGAGCCGCGGCTCCAGTTAGTTGTATAAGTCTTTCAACTTACAAGATTGCAGCTCCCTATTTTTGATTTAATATTGCTATATTCTGTTCTTCACTTGATCCAATCTAAGCTATTTTCAGACAGCAATTAAAGGTACTTTTTGTAAAAGTTAGAATTGCAGGATCTTGTCCAGAATCTAATATTTGATTATTTGCACTACAGTTCCCACAAACCCTGACAAGTCTTCTGGCCAGGCTTGTAGAATGCTTACTCCAAACTTAGGCACCCAGTATATGTGTGTGTGTTTTAACAAGTGAAGCAAATTATATAATTTACTTCATTTGTACCAAGATATCATGAGGTGCATAATATCACTTGGGTCTCCCTTCCTGGCCTTCATTGATGCCCCTGAATCCAAAACATTTGGAAATGCCTACCTCCACTTATTTTGGAAGAGCAATGCTGGACTTAGTGGACTTTTGTCTTGATCAAGGGGGCTCTCAAGTCTTTATGTTCAAAATAATTATCTAAAAATGTCCTATGTCCAGGTAGACTTTATTGCTTCAGCTGTTTAATCCCTCACTTAAGTGTATTTTTTAAACTCCTCAAAACAAATACTTTTTGTCTGATTGTAGAGAATATATTGAAGAAAAGATAGTGGATTTTGCAAGGCAGAACCCTGGGATTGCGGTTTATGTAAACCCAAAGAATTGCAGGATCCCCACATTGGTTGCTGAATATTGTGAGTATGGAATATACTATTGTTGATTACTGCCATTGCCCAAGAAATCTGCTCCTAAGAATATACTCTTTTAGGAGATGTGCTCAGCTCCCTGTTAAGAAAAAATGTCAAGTTTGTTTTCTCTTTAGCCAAGTCTTTTCAGTTGGAGTGATTTAATTGTTTCCATGAAAGTTTGAGTCTTTATGTTAAATTTGTGTTGTTGTTAGCCACTGTGGGCAGAAAGGCAGAACATAAGTATGGAAAACAAAATGAAATGAATAAATAAATAAAGCAATCATGTGGATATTCTTTCAACAAGTTTATGAAAGTACAGGGACCTTCCTTTTCTTGCAAAGCAATCAACAATAGCAATAGAAACTTGGCCTTCTAGAATAACTATCCCCAACATGACTCTCTCCAGATGTGCTGGGATTGCAATTTTCAGTATTCTAAGCCAGCAAGTCTTCTGGCCCTGTGAGCAAACAATATTCTGAGCTGCAATCTCAGTGTCTCTGAAGAGCACCCTGATGGGGTGTACTAGAAGAATCACATGGAAGTGACTGTATTTTTATTGGAACTTCTGGGCAAGCTAGTTTACATAATTAAAACATAAAAGTAAAATTACAGAGATTGAGAAATTGGAAATCCTAGGTAGTGAGATACAGCTGTCCAGATTAATGTGTCTTCTTAGATGGAACAAGTTTTTAACCCAGATTATTTTCTTCTTAGTGAATGGAACTGTGAAGGAGGAGCCTTTAACCAGCAAGACTGCAGAAGAGATTGCAGATATCATTCAAAAGATGGTCAACCAGTCTGGCCTAGAAATCATTCGTATCCGAAAACCTTTCCATACAGATAACCCCAGTATCCAAGGCCAGTGGCATCCTTTCACAAATAAACCCAGTGTACTCAATGTGCAAACCATAGGAGCCAAACTCCAATCACTGGAAAAATAAAGCTATGCTGTATAGCCTGTGACATTTATGAATGTGAGGATCTCTTGCATGCAGGAAATCCTTATCTCCTTCCCTAAGAAAGTGGACACTGAAGGGAAATAACTAGCTTGTGTCTGCAAACCTGATGTTTTTATGACAACTCTAGTTCAGGTTGATTTCTGCTGTTGCAAGCTGAATTATTTCTGAATAAATTCTACAATTGGGTGGGTTTGTCTTCTAGACCTGACGTTTTCATAACAACCTTGGTTCTGGTTGAATTATCAGCTCTGCTGCAGACTGAACTATTTCTGTGAAAACTGAACTATTTCTGAGTAAATTCTACAGTTGGGTGGGTCTAGACCTGGATAGTTATGCTAGTAGCTTTCTTCCAATTGCACTTTGCAATTTAATTCTTACTGAAAATAAATAAATGACGGAACATAATTTACTCTGGCCCATCATTTCTTGAGAACAGAGTTGGGAAGCTTGCAGTCCATAGGATCTTTCTACCTTTTCCTGCTACATAACAGTTAGTTTTAAAATACAGAGGGGCTGATTGTGAGAGGATCGTGGTTCCAGAGAAGTAAATCATCCTGTTCTGAACACTGCCTCTTTTTTCCAGAAAGAGTAGATAGTTTTTGGGTACCTCTGAATCCAGATCTTTCTCTCTCTCTCTTTGGTGTCTCAGATTGAAACATGTCTTTTATTAACTCCAATTAACAGACCAACTGTGTCCTTTCCTGGAAGAAAGTGCCTATAGTGCATGCGCTGGTTAACTTCTAGGCTTGATTAATGTAACACATTCTACATGAGGCTGCCTTTTTGTATGGTTTAGAAAATTTAGTTGGTGTAGAACTCAGCACCCAGAATCTGGAAGGATTCAAAGAGCATATTTGGGCTAAAAGCTTTGCACTGGCTATCAAGGTCCAGCAGAGGCCTTGGCTGCTGCCTGGAATAGGGAGGCGGCC